TTAAAGGGGACCAGACTGCCCCAGTCACCTCAGCTGCAGTGTTCTACTATTCACAGGGCGCATGCGCTCGGGAACAAAGGGCATTTCGTTGGGCCTATATCTAATAGCTGCTGGAAGTTGGGAAGTGAAAAATGGCAGTAGCAGTAACTGCGGTTTTGCTGAAAAATTTATGGTGATTTAGTTTACTCTGTTTACTGTCTGAACTGTATTTAGCATTTGTAATGATTTCAGTAAATCGGCTTACCATAGGTGGTAGGGAGTGCTAGGATGAGGAAGAGTTCTGCCAAACTCCCTTGAAGTTAGTCGATAGGTGCGAGGACGTTGACGAGAAGAATCGGACTGAAGGATAGATGATGTATGAATTACTTCCAATTGTAGACGAGACCAGGACCCAGGGTGAAGAAAATGAGGGTTTATATGGAGCCCAAAGAATATGGCCCCGGAAGTGAAGGAATGTTTCTCCTTTTCGACGATAATGGCCCAGAAGGCGCCAGACAGGTGAAATAGAAAAAGTTGTTGACTGAGAAAAGGCAAAGGAAAGAAAAAAATTTGTAGATGGGTAAATTAGATTAAGAAGGGATAGGGGATTGGGTTACTGTAATGAATTGTGAAAAAGAGGAAACAAAAATAACATAAATCTATGTGATATATTTGTTTCTATTTATAATTGAAAAAATGACATTGATTTGTCTTTTTAAGTGATTTGTTTTATCTGCTGCCCGAATGTATGCTGGATAGCTGTTGCAAATTTGTATGTTGTAACGAGCTACAAAACTTGTCTTCATGAGGTTCCAGTAAGATCTAACAAAGATTTATTATTGCAGGTATTTCAAAAAGCAGTTGAATTGATTTTTTCGCCCAAGTGATGAAAACCCTAGAGAAGTAGTAGGGTAATCATGGATTAGTAACGCTAATCCAGCATGACATTTCCATCCTCGTCTCACAACTACAAGTGGCAGCAGCAGAAAATGTGCTTTGTTTGAAAAATGACATTGGTTTATTCTTTTTTCTGAGACGATGTGTTTGAAGGAGGTTTTTTAATTTTCTATTAAATAAAGCGTTCGCTAATTGCTGTATCATTATACAATATAGAAGTTGGGGAGAGGGAGGTGGGGAAAAGTGAGGATAAAATTGCGGGGAAAGGGTACGAATGCAGCTGAGAGGGAGAAGGGGGTACGGATGCAACGGGAAGGGGGGAGGGGGTACAGTCGGGGAAGGGCGAGAAGGGGTGCAGCCAATGGAGCCGAGTAAAGTACAATACCTTAATTCTTGAATTCAAGTACAATAAGCTCCCTAGCAATTCCTCCCTCTTTTTTTGTCGCTGCATTAACGATCTTCTTGTTTTCAACTGCCTCCGCTATCTTCCTCTTCAACTTCTTTATACGAACATTGAATGCACTAGTTCCGGCACTTCCGTTAATTTCTTCACATGACTGTTTCTGTAGGCGGTGATGCTCCCCTGACTTCCTCGCTTTACTGCAAAACCGATCTTTTTACCTTCCCCAATAAGAAGCATTCTGTGCTTCATAGTAACGTGCACCGATCAGTTCACACAGGTACATTTATAGCAAGCTCATTAAATACCTGCGTGCTGAGTCCGCTTTACCTGATTTCATTATCTCAGCATGCTGTCTTCTTCTTTGCTACTTCGTTAAGGATCTTTTTTCCACTGCATCAGTTGTTTGATGTACATTATTATTCGTAGAAATAGGTACCATTTCTCCGAGTACTTTCAACTTAACGCATTGCAGTCGTTTTTTTCATGGTTTCTCATCATAATTCTGCGTGTT